GGGGGGGGGGGGGGGGGGGTCCCCCGTACAGCGACCGATTCGATATAATACCACCATGTATCCGGAGGGGGAGGGCTGGGTCAAGCTGGGTGAGGAAGGCAAACGCGTGGGGGGGGGTGAATGATGATACTACTATATATCTAATGATAATGATGGCACGGTCTAAATCTAAGACAAAACATGTGCTATTATTTAGCAGGGCTAGCAACGCGAGTGGGCCCCTTCGAATGACTTATACCCGCGAGTAGATGATACATGTACTGCATACATTGTAGGTGGATTTTCTTAATCCAATGCGGGATCACACCCAAGAGTATATCATCAACATGTCTCCTGTTTTCTGCCCTTTATGCGTTTGTCTTCTTATTCTTCCGTAAACGACAAGAAAAGAACAGCAACTATTTTTGCCAACCGGCCGTGTCTGAACTACTACGGCAAGCAGCAGTGTACTTCATTATTAGTGGTCCCGCTACCATGCCGGTTGCCCTACATCATGCCGGTGAAATCATCTGGCACAGATGGAATATTCAAGTTGGTCCATACCATACTCTGAATAATGCCGGTTGCCCGCAATAATACCGGTTCAAGGGGCTGGCACCTACCGTACCGTACCCTACCGTACCGTACCGTACCGTGCCGTACCGTACCGTGCCGTGCCGGCATTGCACCGGAGCCACTAAAATACGCCGTGCTGCTCACACACACAGTCGTGGTCCTGGTTTAGCGGTTGCTTCTCTGTTTAGCGGCATGCCATGCCATGCCCTGAATAGGTGGCGGTTCCACAATCTCGTGGCACGGTTGCACCTCAGTAGTCACCTCAGTAGTCACCCTACAGATAGCGCCCGCACTCAAGAACTTCGCAGCAAAGAGTTTGGGACTCGAATATTATGAGCAGCTATGCATACGAACTTGAGCACCATTTGTAGGCCCGGTTAAGAACCCCCACACCAAAACCTACATAGCGGCCAGTTGCAGCCCACAACAGGAACCATAATACTGAACTAACCCCAGCCTCGGCCGAAACTATTTATACTTGTGGAGGTTTTTGAGTGCGGGCGCCATCTGTACTGTACTACCACAAAACTGCCAATGCGGTTTTGCGGCGATGCCTCAATAGTGGTAGTGGTTCTGCTGCAACAACATTTTGTGACACTCTGCATCAAAGTACGGACCGCCGCACCGGGACCACCACTCTGCAACTCTGCATCGGCAAGTGCCTGCCTGCCCTTTTCAACGCGCGCCGTGTGCACACTTTTACTTGTGTTTGATAGTGTCCTTGACGCTAGGCACTGATGCACGATGTCGAGGATGCAATCATCAACAAAACAACTATTATTATAGACTGACATCTTCCTCCATCCATCATGAAAACCCGAGCGTAACCGGGAAGAGCATGGAAGAGTGTAAATTGTAAATTGTTCGGGATAAAGCGCGTACACATCTACTGCTGTAGACTACTCCCTCCCAAGTATAATGCTGATGCTGCCGTTCCTCCTTGACACGCGCCACTCATTATCCTTGGAAGAATGATTGCATCATCATTACAACAACGCAGCGTCCGTCAAGGACTAGTATTGTTATTTTTCGTGAGAGAGGGAGGCTTCAAAGGGACGCACGACGCGTTGCGATGCTTTATGTTGATTTCTTCCTGATTGCTCCAGCAGCGCACGACATGTTAGTATGCAACTTCCTTCCACTAGAAATCTACATCATAATCTATGTACATGCACACGGACCGATTCTTCGCTGCATTTTGGGATCAGCAACTGACACGAGTTTAATACAACAAAACAACAAAACAACAATGTATCTTCTGCATCATATGAACACACGATCGATCACAAGAAATATCTCCTTCAAGTTAAGATTTCTCACCCCGAGGTCGGCTCGGGCCAACGACAAAAACAATGCTTCCGAAGTACACAAGCATTCGAGGGTTGAAGGTTAAAGGTTGACGAGAACCACGCTCCTCCCTCCTCCCGGTGCAAGAATAACATTTGCCAAACAACCAATAGTTCTTGTACGTGGGTACACAAACACGTGCAAAGACGCGAAATTCCGGGAGCTGCCTCTGCGTACTTTTTGTGTGGTTGCTGCTGCTGCTACTGCTGCTGGCAAACCCAGAACCTCCTGTGCTTTTCCTGTGGGACCCAGCACACAACCCCAGCAAGGGTACTACTGCTGTAGGCAAAAGTTTTGGCTCTAACGGCGAACGGTTTATTTGACGGTCAGTGACGTGAGGCTCAGCCTACTCGCCACCATACCAGCGGTCAAACGTCAACCCCAGCCGATCTGTAGATGAATTTTTCAACTTTTTTTTCTCGATTTGTCAGCACATCCTTTTCTTGCACAAAAACACCAACGGTATGCTCAGCAGAAGTTCGTCAGACTTAATATGTAAACGCATGTCGACCCAAGGCATCACGTTTCACACATGCATACCGCTTCGTATGCAAAATATTCTAACACTAACAACACGCGTCTACACACCAGAGTGTATGTACTCTTATCATCACACACGCTGAGTTGCAGCCGATATGTATGCCAAGAACGGAGTACGAACATTCCCTTGGTGACGATGAACGCATCACTGTCCGCCAGCCCATCCATCGGGAAAAAATGACCAACCCTACAGCAGTACCTATTTCTAACATACACTTCATACAAGAACTCAGGCGCAGCGGGGTACGGCGTTGGTTTCTATTTCTTCGTCCCTGCCCACTAGCTCACCGACTTTGTCGTCGCCCCCCCACCAGTGGAGTTGTCGTTGCTGTCATGCATGGCACCCCCGGGATCTTCCATCATCCCTTCAATCCTGCACAAGCAGCGCCGCGGCGCACCCGCTGCTATTTAGTCTAGTCCGCTCTTTAGCCCACGACTCCCTCCCTCTTGCGCGCCCGATACAGCAGCTGCAGCAGCTGCAGCACTGACTGGTAGAGTTTACGGTAGGTCACAAAAAGAATGCTGGGTTTCTCCGCCTGCGCCGCCTGCGGGGACGAAATGAGGTGCAGTACTACAGGACCAGCACACGAGCGAGCACAAAGGAGGTAGAGCAGTCAGCAGACATGTGTGTAAAAAGGGACTCGGGAGAAGCGACACGACTGCTGCCGTTGGTCGGCTCATGTCGCGAATTGAACCGAGAGCTGAATGGTGTTCGTAGGTCACGACTGCTGCCGTTGCAATGATCCCACACACCCCTCGGGGCCATTTTATTTGAGTGTGCCTTGTTAGGGTAAGTTAGCCTGCGACCACGGGAATCGACAGCGTCGAGTGTTGTGTTAGTACGGACATACGAAGGTACTGGGTAGAGAGAGATCGGAACGGTTGTTAATGTGAAGACAACAACAACAACAACAACAACAACAACATCATCATCTGAGTATTGTGCCGGTACGGCGATGGATGCCGATGGATGCCGATGGATGCCGATGGATGCCGATCGATGGATGCACTCAAAACTCCGATGTTCTATATTGGCTCTCTCTCTGTATGCATAGCTAGCACTCTGCAATACTGCTGTGCTCGCTCGCGTCATCATCCATGCTTGGGTTTTGGAGACGGGTTGGACCGTGCGTTAATTTTCACCAACCATGTGAGCAGCCAGCAAGCACGAGAGCTTCCGCTGTACCAGGTATTATTCTGCCATATTTCTCGTCGTTTTCACAGCAGTACTCAGCCCACCTAGGTGCATGCTATATGCCGCTTATGTGCACTCTGCCGCGCTGCTGCTGTGCGGAGCGGGAAAGGAACGGACGCACTTTTATTTGTATTTTTTAATCAATCGCGGTTCTCCCCTTCCTACAAATACATGTAGTCTAGGGCTGCGCGAAAGAGGTACAAGGGGTGACACGGTGGAGGGTGGTTTGTGATTGATGCCTCTTGGGGGAACAGCGGGGATATACATGTAGAGAGAGAGGGTGCGCCGTCAGGATCACGTTGATGCATCCACACACACGCGCGGCCATCCGGCTCGTGATTGGGCAAACCAAGAGGCCTCGATGACGCGGCTATGTAAGTCTCGAGCACGTTGGACCAGGACGCAAAGAAGGCCGAAAAGTGAACCACGTTGTTCTTCAGCTGACAATAACATGGAGTATCTACATACCATACTGCGCAAAACTACGCTGATACCGCGCGCAACAACAAAACGGCAAGAAATGACGATGCGGTCGGCCCGGGCAATGCCGGCCAAACGCGGTGCAAACAAAGAAGAGCAATATGCATGCGAGCCGTTGGGAGAGCTGTTGCTGTTGGCTGAATACGCAACGATCGAGGGCTATCATACAGTCTACAGCACGCAGCAGGCAGCGCATGAGGGGAGGACATCATGACTCGTCACTAAAGAGACAAAGAAAAAACATCCGGCCAAAAAAACAACACAACGCGGAATTTTTCATGTTGCGCGAAGTAGCACAATCAACTCCTTTGTCTCTCCGTCAAATGTGTGTAGAAGTAGATAGATGGCTTTGGCTTTTTGACTACGGTCACGTGGCAGCAGCCAAGCCGATAGCAGAGTCATGCGAGAGCATTCGCACCCGCCCCTTTCCGTGTACCAGGGAACACGGGGCAAACTAATATCATGCGCGGTTGGTCTGGGCAATGGGCAAGCTTTGCTTTGGAGGGAAAGAAAGGGTTGTATTCCAGATAGAAGAGTTGTGGGGCTGTACACAGCAGTGCAGAGCCCTTTCCTCCACAATTGGTTTTGAAAAATGAAACAAAAGCACTGATGTTTGATCGAAGCTCATGTCCGCTGTTGCGACCTTTGATCCACACGCAACACCAGGGGGGAAATACCCTCTCCGGGTCGGGGCGGGAGTAGAGCTCATTCTTTCCCTCCGCGATCCGTCTGATCCTATCTCGAGCTTCGCAGCGGCGCGCTTCCTGCCCGATCGGAAGGGCTAAAGGAAATACTACACTCTGCCATCGTCCGCCTGCTGCCTTGGTTTGGTTCAGTCTGATGATAATCCGGCAGGCACTACACAATCTCGTGCCGCCAAGATCAGAACACAAACCCCCCTTCGGCCTACCTGAGCGCGTTGGCGCTGCAAAAAAGCCCCCCACACCGTCGCGCGCGACTTGTCTCCGCCGTGCTCGCGTGTCTCCACAAACCCTCCGAATGCCGGGATCCGATGCGTGGCGTCGTGTCCAACGTATGTATACCGATTGATCGTTAATCGACTGCTGCACTCACTGCTGTGATGACGAATGTTCATTTTCCATTTTTTTTTTTTTGNGGGGGGGGGGGGGGGGGCACGACATCAGGAATCCGTTCTCTACACCACCTCTTGCCTCGCAGCTCGGTCAGCAGTGTACGACGGAGAGTCGGTCAGCAGCGGCAGTGGGGTGGGCGTCAATGGCGCCATTGATTAGCGGCGGTGGCCCCACATAGCGCCGGTGAAATTGCAGGGCACAGGCCGAATTACCACTTCATTCTGCACATTGAATGCCGCCGGTCCCTCGGAATAGCGCAGGTCGATGCGCCGGGCATATGATCGACTTCATAAGTCGCGAGGGAAGGGATTGCTGCACCCTTCTCACTATAAAAATGTACCAACCAGGAACCGCAGGAGGGGGTCCAACCCCCCCCTCCTATGTGACCCCGGTTGGGTCGTCTAGCTGGTAAAAGTGGAGGATAGGGGCCAGAGTGGCAGACGACAGGGTCCAATGATACAAGAAAAAAAAAAAACCGGCGTGATTGAGGGCTCTCTCCGCTTACCGACCGTCGCATATTTTTTGTTTTGATCTTTCGTATCACATGTGTGCTACCTCGTGGCGATAAATGTACATACAATCCATCCCATCCGTAACCGTGGAGTATCTGTATTTCTACGTATGTATTCTAGACGACAAGCCCCGGAGTGCTCTGTACTCCGTATCAACAGCGAAGTCAAATCCTCCGAATGAATCTATCTCCAGATCATCATCAAGCATGCGTCTGAGCTGGGTTCGGCCGTTTGAGGCTCAGAGAGGAAGATTGAGATTATAAAAGTGTGGGAGCTTGCTGAGTACCAACGAGGAATCTAAACACGGGCGTTGCTGCATGCACTCACATACATGTATTCCGCACCTGATAGGCTAAACAGGGTTAGACTAGGTACAACTGCTTATTACTAACCTGGTGTTCGTTGTTATTATTGCATCCTTGCATGACATGTTTTGTGCAGTCGCAGCGAAAAATTGTCCGCCCCCTAGTCAAAACGAGATAAACATACATAGATAGATGGCCTCCTAGACTGTCGCAATGGGTTTCGGAAGCATTGACACCGGACACACACACGCGAAAGAACATACCAGTATATTTACAAGAAAAAGATTATACTCGTAGGGAACCAATTGTGTGGTGGTTGCTACCGGTATGTATCATACGGAACGCGCCCGCCTCTATTGGACTATAGTTTGGTCGAGGCTGGGGTTCTTAGTTCCGTGTGTCTAGGGTCATCCTACGGATGGTCGCTCTTATAAGCTTTAGTTGGTGTAAGGGGTTCTACACCGAGCTCACAAATGAAAGGTACTCAAGTTCTTAAATTTTGTTTAGTTTTTTAGGCTCAATTACTTAAACTCCTGGGTTATTGCGTAAGGGCGCGTTCTGTACTTGGTAGAACCTGGTTTTCGTGTGCAGACCGCCGCCGCCCTTGTTGATGCCATATTCCCTCCTCCCTCCCCGCGCTTATTTATCCCACTCCACCGTCCGGTGGCGCTTGACAAACAATTAAATGTGTGTGACGAACCCCGCTTCACGTCATCGCAGAAGGTCGATCGACAGAGTACAAACATCGACATCATGGAAGAGGCAGCCAACTTGCGGAGTCATCACACACCCATCTCTAGATCGACTTATAAACCCCGATTGCGCAACTACAGCAGTACTGCTGTAGTACCAAGAGAGTACGAAAACCGCTCGATTCGTGCTAGGAAAGCTCTGTTTGACTTTGTGTGTTTGGGGAGCAATCAAGCTATGACCCGTCGCGGTCTAGAGGGTGAGCCAAGACTCGCACTATTACGGTACTTTACACAATGGGACAGACATGATGTTTCTTCGCGAATGTATTCAATGCCAACGTCATGGTCAGCACGGACCGATCCTGGCAACAAAACTGAATCTAATAGCCAGCTCCAAGGTGTGTGCAACGCTGCACAGAGCTACCACGCACGGCAATCAACGACCTACGGCGCCATGACAGCCGGCCGTGATTTCAGCCCCAACAAGAAAGAAAAAACACAAGCAGTTTCAGAATTCTGTTGCCGCCTGAGTGCATGTTGCAAAGCACACACACAAACACGTCGAGAACGTTGACGCTGCTGTTTCAAACTAACGTCCAACTCAACGTGCTCTCCGTGGGTGTCAGCGAAGCCCCCGCTCCCACTAGCCGCGAACCGCTCATAATCGTAGGACGACACGACAACCCCAAGTCCATCTAAACACAAGGTACAAGCAAGGCGGGCTGCTGTGTTGAAGGAATGCCGCTGCTAATATAGCACCCCCAGGCGCTTGGAAAGGCAGAGGGACGCATTGCTCTGTAGCGCACGCGCTTGTCATCGATTTCTTCTCCCTCTGCCCGAATCATCCCGGTTGTTGTCCCCGCTGCCCCCACCCCTCGCTTTGATCGGCGGAGGCACGGTCCGCCTTCGGAGCGAGCGCTCCTTTCCTCCGGCGAAGCACAACCCCAGCAAACTTAGAACGCCGTTCGCGCTCTCCTCGTACCTGTTAGGCGCACAACCAGACAACAATGCGTTGTTGGAACAGGGTCAAGAGAGGAGCCCCACACGATAACAATTGTGCATTTAGCAGTTGATGAGCCCAGCTTTTGGGAACGGTAACGGTTCCACGATGTCACCGTTGCGCCCGGTGACAACTAGATCGGTTGAACCCTGTTGGGGGGAAGCATCGATGTCTGGCTCCTGCATATATTCACGTGAACAAATCTTTATCTACCAAAGCCCCGAATTCCCGACAAGGGTCAAGGCCTCCGTCAGCAAGGCAAAGGTGGGAGGTGGCCATGAGGGCACAACATGTTTTCGTTGTCGCTTTGCCGAACTCACGTACAACAGACTCCGGGAAACTATGTGCAGCGCGTTGATTAATATGTCCTCGTCGATTTGGGCCTTCAACTGAAAAGCAATATAGGTAGCAAATGCAGCAATCACTCGGTTGAGTTGTCGCAACCAGAACGCGTTCCGAAGCCTGAAACAAACCAAAAGCATCGACATTTTCAAGCAGCACAGATCGGATCAAGACGAAGACGAAGAAACACGCGCCGGGACTGAAGACAACACATCTGCGACAGAGAAGAGCGGTAACGAGACCATGAATTACTTCTTAACTTTCATAGCTGGACGAAACCCTGTCACGCTGACAAAGAATTCACAGAATTCGGGAAAATACTACTTATCCGTACACTGCACTAAACAAGCGCGAGATCCCCGCGAGTCCCGGTGGAATTCGCTGGGTACCAGCACGCATCGAGCACGTCCCTGTACACAAGGCGGCTGCAGCGGGTGGCAAAATAGCAGACACGCTCTCGGGATCAGCAGAACAGCTCACCTGTGTGGCACGTAGAGCTGGCTGTCTCGATAAGTGGACTTCAAGCAAGCACTCACTAGGGCGACGCTGCCCACGGTGTTCACCAGCAGAAACCACGAGTGACCGCCCTGTACGGGGAGGCCCGGCGGAGCGGGAAAATCGTTCAGCCCGGGTCCCTGTGACTTGCTTCTACGTAAACGGCGAAATGCAGGATACGGTACGTTGCTTTCGAGAAACCACAAATGGACCACGCAAAACAAAGATAGCAAGAGATACAGCCTGGTCCAACAAAGGGGAAGGACAACACGGAAGCGGCAGCTAGAAACAAGAGCACGAAAGCAACCGAATTCGATACCGCGCCCTGAGGGTCGCTTTCTAGTTCTTCTCCAGGGGGGGGGGGCGTGTGTCTCTCTCAGCGGGGCCTCCTGGGGTGGGAGAAAGAACGTCTAGCACCTGTTGCTCTTTCGAGAAGATGCCCGCTCGCTGCGTCAGCTACTACGCATCACCCTTCGTGACTTCTTGTCCCAGGAGCGAGAGAGAGACAGAGCGGTGTTTCGTACTCCTTTCAGACACTCACAGCAGCGTAGGTTTTTCTCTCCACTCAACTCTCTCGACGAAACAGATAAACCTTAGACAAACGTAATCGTTCGAAGCAAAACATACGCCATTGGGCGGGAAGTGGAGTTCTAAACTGGCGTCAAACTACTCCTTCGCTGACTCGTTACCGAAGCACATGATTATCCCTCGCTTTTCTGAGCATGTCGTTTCAAATTTCGAGCAACATCGTGATTGTAGAGCCAATCGGTACCACCAAAATCGTATGTTGTCGTACCGGACCACACTAGTCGCATAACGTGTTGGTCTTGCCAAGATCTCACCGATTCCATCCAGCCCCTAACCCAGACGCTAACGTTGTAGCAGGCCCAGGCTGAAGACACAACTAGCACGGCTGTGTGTGCACATATTCGGAGAGGGGTCGGTGCAACAAGCGAATGCGAGCGTGAGGGGTGAGGGAAGATTTTGGTCAGTGAGCGAATGGGACCGAGCGAACGGTAACTTGAAGAACGACGACCAACATATGCGTTAGAATATCGCAACTTGGGTCTTGTCAACAAGAAACACATTGTGCGAACTTTTTCCGTCGTGTTGCTCCAGGAAAGAAAAGTTAACCGAGCAGCAACGCGGACGATTGCCCCAGCCTGCCAACACCGCGGTCGGTGTACTATCAGGGGGCCGCCCGCTCTTAAAGTTTACAGTACAGCAGGACCGTGGCGGTGTCTACATTGAAACGGTACAGAAACAGCCAGCAATACGCGTGTTTTCGTCGAAGCTGTCAGGGTCTGCAGATTCACATTCCCACACCTGCATCGGACCGAGTCGTAGCACTAACTAACACCGACTGCACCAGCCTCTCAGGAGTTCCCTAAATATACAAGAGCGGCAAAATGCGGTGACGCACTGCTGTACATCTATTTTCGTCCTACCGTCCAACCAAGTGATCGTAGACGTGTGCCTCCCACTCCTCCCTCCGCTGATATAACGCGTTCGGGATGACGCTGGCTGGCAACCTTTATCCTACCGGTACAGACTACTACAATATACAAGAAGGTTTCTCCTACTGTACTTCCTTCCTTATGTAGGGTTCACTGCTGTACATAGCTGGCAAAGGACACGGCCACGCAGGTGACGGCTCACCCTGCCCTCGCCTTCGCCTCGCCTTGTAGTAGAGGTACAGCTGCTGCAGATGCAGCTCGAACGCGCTTATGTCTGCCGACGCTGACGGTAACGGGGTACGGCGGGGGGAGGCGGGCGGAAGGCTTGGGTCTCACGGATTGACCTGTAAGCGAAGGCACTCGTGTAGCCACCAGCGTGGAACCACCGTGCTTCGCCAGATCCATCGATGCGCACGTGCTTGCAGGGCAGAGTTAGAGTCGCTGGGTGCCGTATCCTCGGCCCTACAAACAAAGGGATGTTGCGGTCCACAGAGAAAGTGGTCTTATTGAATCCGAGTGGACGGTTTAATTGTGCCCGCCATGGTTGACCGGGGGTGGCGTATGGAATGCTGCAAGAAAGCCTGTCGGCAAAATAATTGCTCGAATGGTGCACCACACGAGCAGAAAGCGGCAACAGGTTGATGCCAAGAAACGGTGACAGCGGTAAACCAAAGACGCCTGCATCCGATATACCGCCAGTCGTAATGTCAAAATAGGGTGCAGGCATGCAGCCCTGTAGGGCACAAGCAGCGTCCGTGGGGAGTGATTTGCTTGTCTGCTTGGGATCTGGCAACCAAAATGCAAGGTAGGAAGCAGCCTTGGTGAACACGTTCAGGGTTCCCCTGTTGCTATGGGCATGTACGCTGGAATGCATATGTACCCGTCTCTGGCGTTGGTTGTCCCACGAAAGGGCGTCCACGCATTTCTATTTTTTTTCGACTTTCGATTTTTCCATCAATGGCTCCGCAGACAGCAAAGCCCTATGGAAAACCAAGGGGCTGCCAGACGGCCGTTACAGTATAGCTAATTGCGCGAATGGTCACGGAGAAGAGGGTTAGCTGCTGTTGGTACGCTTCGTGTTTGGTCCATCAGACATGAGGCAGTTGCGTTGAAAATACTTCAACTTGCCGACTCAGATGAGCAACCTAAGTTGCACAGTTTGAACAAACGCGGTCTCACCACAGCACGTGCATCCCAAGGTGGGCTTCTCTACAATACCATGGTACATGCTTCCAAGGAATCTCAACATTCGTTCAGTCACAATATACTCTTGTTTGTCAGTGTGTAGAGAAAAGGGAGACAAGGCACCCGTCACGAGTCCCATAACTTCCAGCCGCAGTAAAGCGATTCAAATTTCCAAATAGCACACGCACACCTGCATCGACTCTCCCCCTTTCCTCCGAATTTCTTGCATGCTTCATCGTCTTCTCCATGGCCATGCACCCATATCCCTGCTCACTGCTGTCGTGCTTGTGCCAGCTGATCACTCTCGGGCGCGGCCCAATGAGAGCTGCAGAAAAAAAAATGGAGTACCAGCAGGTTCTGGAGGCGGTAGAAACCCGGGGGCGGATCTGACTTAGCCCCTGTGTCATATCCGCTCCCTTCCGCATCGCTGGGAGCTGGGAGCTGTGATGCAGATGTGCTTTTATGAGCTGTGATTTATGTGTATGTGTAAACATATCTGATCTTGCGAACATATTCAGTCATCGCGCTCGGTCTTGTCCTCATCCGTCTACGATCAGACAGCAGTGAGTGGCAGTCCACGGCACACACACGTTACATTACTCCATGTTGTTGTTGTTGTTGTTGACTACTTCACATTTAAACCGTATGCCAGTTGCTAAATGCCAAAATCTAGCAAAGACTCTCAGCCCGTGGTCACGAAAGTGCTAGAGCCATCTGAGGATCTAAAGAACACGCACACGTAGCAAGAAAAAGGTATCCAAGAGCCCGAAGAGGTACTACTACACCTATATATAATCCCTGCAGCACCGTACGCGTGCCCAAAACTGAACTACACGTCCGTCTCACCGTTCGACTACCTGTAAGCAACATCACCCCCTACCTGTCCCACTCTGTATCAAAACGAATGATTGCCGACTACAGCATACTTGCTGTCTGAAGTGCTGTCTGTACAAAAACACCATGGTAGGCATGGAACAAGAAGCTGGCGGGGCACAAAGCTGCTGTCTGAAGTGCTGTCAGAATGTGTCTGCGGACGTACAGTGA